ACTTGCTACAAACTGAGGCATGCTGGGTAGAGGAGGGGTCATCCTATTCAGTCCTCCTATAGGCGGCAGTATAACCTGATTTTATATGTGACTTCCTGTGGGCTTGAATGGACTCCAAGAAAATGATTGTCGGGCGAGTACATCATCGGGTGTCCGAGTAGGATTGCAGCCCACTGTAGCGCTACCTATAGCTGCGAGTGTGGCCCAGCCCATCATTGTGCATGATGCCGGTCACAGAGAGGGGACCGGAGGTTATTGGGGGGGCGGGGCAGGATGCTGTCATGTGCAATGATGGAGACTAGGTACGAGGGCAGCTGGAAATGTCCAATCCACACCTTCCAATGGCTGTAGACATCCTGACACAGCAGCAGCGGGAGACAAAAGTCCTGGACAGAATGTCCGTGTCCTGCGTTTGTAGCGGGAACGCTGAGCTGACCTCCCCGCGCCTCTATAATGGACGTTTCTTTCATTCCCTGCTCAGCCTCCTCCGAAGCTCCCGCCACCGCCGCCATCAGGGAAGAAGAGGAAGCGACCCGCGGAGGAGAGTCCAGAGAGCCAGCCATTCAAAGCTCTGCTGAGCGGCACCATTCCTGTAGAGCAGTTTGTACAGACCCTGGAGAAGGTGAGCGGATTTACTGACAGACGCCATTTTGTTCTCAGTTCCGGTCGGTGAGGGTTGGAACCGGAACTTAAATGGGTCCAATTATAAACAATTCGCTGATCCACTCGATGAACGTTCGTTGTGAGTGAATGGAAGCAGAAACGAATGTTCTTGGTATATTTTCTTTCCAGGTTGAATGTACTATCAGAGACATAGCATATGATGGCCACTAGATGGTGCTGAGGAGTATTTATTTCAGGGACTTCTCACTCTGTAATCCTCACCTTTTATATAAGGGGTCTCCCGTGCAGCTCCCAGGGTCAGGCCCCCCATACCTTCGTGGGATATTAATTTGGTCTTCAGAAACCCCCATTGGAGACATTCCTCTTTTGCTAAGCATTGAGTACGAGTACTGATATTTTCTTTTCTGGTAGTCACCGATAATGAGTAACAGTGCCGCCGTGCCCCCAATTATCAGGAAGCCGCGCCCCCAATTATCAGGAAGCCGCGCCCCCAATTATCAGGAAGCCGCGCTCCGGATTATGACCCGCCACCCGGCTTTCCGATTGCCTGGGAAGCTGGCGTTCTAGCGAAGCTTCACTTGCCAGGGCTGTCTGGTTTCCTGACCAATCGGGAAGCCCGGAGGCGGGTCATTACAGGCCGTCCAGCGTCCTGATTGGTTAGGAAGCCAGGCTACCTACAAGTGAAGCTGGCTTCCTAGCCAATCAGGAAGTCGGGCGACACGTCATGACCCGCCACCTGGCTTCTTAATTGGCTAGGAAGCCGACTTCACTTGTTTCTAGGCAGCCTGGCTTTCTGACCAATCAGGTGGGGGGGGGTCATTAGGTGGCACCTGGCTTCCTGATTGGTTACAAAGCCAGGCAGCCTAGCAACAAGTGAAGCTAGCTTCCTAGCAAGTCAGGAAGCATAACCCTAAGGTCATAACCCACCACCCGCCTTCCTCAATGGAAAGGAAGCCGGCTCCATGCTCCCTCGGCACTGCCGGTCAGAGCAAGATCTCCCCCTGACCGGAAGTTCCGGTATCGGAGCATTTGGGTTGAGTACTGGTATCGGTTCATCCCTAGTCAGAAGTTTTGCTTGTAGCTATCACATCGGCAAGGCGAGTGTCTGTACTGGCAGCTTTATCCCTTACTGGTCCTGCGCAGGTACAAGGTGGTGTTGAGGTCTAGGCCTCCGTTCCTTCCTAAGGTGGTCTCTGCCCTTCCCCTAACCAGGGCATTGTCCTTCCGTCCAGAACCAGAACACCGGGAGATCCCCCTCCATGGACCTCCATTGTCTGGATGCTCTTATGAGGACTGAGGCAGTTGGCAGGTCAGAGTTCACCTGAAGAGTCGCCACCAGACGCGAGGGAAACGATCAATCTGTCATATGTCCTCCTGCACTAGTGTAATGGAGTAAGACTCAACTCTGGCTTCCATACCATCCCCCCATGACTGGTTCTCTTCATATATCTGATTGTCATGGAGACTAATGTTATTGATTATTGGTAATTGCCTTTCTCTAATGATCTTATCACTTTCCCGTCTGATGTTCCGACCTCTCTCCTCTAATTGCAGCACGGATTTAGCGACGTGAAGGTAGAGGACACGGCCAAGGGTCACATCGTCCACTTGCAAGAGGCCGACACGCTCATCCAATTCGAGGAGGACTCCACCCATATCATCTGCGAGCACGACGAGCGCCTCCGGGTTCGGCTTAGGGACCTGGTGCTAAAGTTCTTACAGAAGTTTTAGACTGCGGTTCCAGAACTTCTGAGAATTGTTGAACAATGGACCGCGTTTCCCAAGTTGGCCTCCAGAGGGAGCTCTGACACCACAAGAAACGTCTCCC